CTAGTAGGTTGGAGGCCATGGCTATTAGGCTGGAGGCCATCGCTAGAATAGGTTGGAGGCCATCGCTAGAATAGGTTGAGGCCATCGCTAGTAGGTTGGAGGCCATCACTATTAGAATCAAGAAAAAAGAAAAGGAAGACAGGTATTTTTTCTTTTTGCTTTGAGGTTGAACGGCCAAAGCATTCATGTTTGCTCTTCCCTGACCTCAGGGTGACACGGTCCTCTGTGGATATCAAGGGCCCGGATGGACGAGAATACGTCCGCGAAAGCCTTGTGACTTGACGGAATCAAGTAAGTTTGCACAGCTCAGTGTGAAGCTGTGCACATTTTGCGAAATATATACTGTTAGCGAATCAGCATCTATGTGCAGGACGTGGGAATTCTTCTGGACAAAGTCGTGGCACGACATGCCTCAAGGGCAGAACTTCAAACCAGTAAGAGATCTCCGTCACAACTACTTTTGCTAGTGATGCATGGATGACGTTTAAGCATCGCATGCATATGATGCTATTGATAGGAGACTGATTGGAAATGCAATTGGGGCCAGACCGTTGAGAAGACCTCAGCAAATCACGAAGCAGATGTAAGGGTAGCCAATGGACTGGTGGATACTTGACAGCTCGAAGTCGCGGACAATTGTTTAGCCAACGAGTGAGGCCTAATTGTGCCTCCTACAAGGAAGAAAAAGTAAGTAGCACGCAAAAAACACATCGCAAAATATGAACGCGCAGCGGCACAGGCGCGGCGGCGGTTGGGCAGGAAAAGTATGCTTTGCACACTTTGCCGGCGATAAAACTGCGCATATGGCTAATAGCTACTGTCTGCTTACGACAGCATGAAAAAGCTAAGAGCATCTGTCTTCATCACAATTGCTCACATGTGACATGTGATTCACAGCTGCACGTGGCCTCTTCGAGCAGCATGCCAACGAGGGACATCGTCATGCACGCCACCACGTTGATGAAGCTCAAATGAATCATGAAGGGTATCTCACGAAGCCCATGCAAGGCGGGGGAAGAGTTCAGGCTTCGTGGCTGGCCAAACCACTGCCGGAGCCGAGCCGAAGCATAGCTTTCTGAGATGCCCAAGGAGACGGTTTTCTGCATCTTTTTGTGCTCAACGGAAATGGAAGTCCTTGACAGAGAAGAGTTCCTTGATCTTCGACCGGTTGGGTCAAGCTCTGCCATTTTCCATGGGTCGGCAGGGACGTTTGGGACGTACTCCAAGGTGAGTTGGCGCAGGGTCGGCATCGTCTCCACCTGGTCCAACAATGATGAGGCAGTGATCCTTGAACCTCTGCGCATCCAGCGTCATGTGAAAGCTTGCCAGGCTCAGCCGATTTTCCTGTGGTCTGGAGCCAAATGCTGAAAATGCGATGCTGTCAAACACAGTTCCCAAAAATGTCTCGAAGACTCCAAGGTTTTTGATTATGTAGGAGCAAGGACGCTACTAGGGGCTCCTGGCTAGGAACAAGAAGCTACTAGGGGCTCTTGGCCTTACTACCAGCAGCAAGGACGCTACTAGGATTATGTATATAGCAACAGCATCTCCATGCATCTCCTGAAGCTTTCACGCTGGGGCCCTGACCCCTTCCTGCGTATCTTCACTGGCTCACCATCTCAGGTTACCACTTTACGCTTTTCATTTAACCTGGCACTGTGAGGCTAATGATCTCCAATCACTGATCACCCACCAGCATTGGCATTGGAATCTTGCAACTGCAAGCATGTAAAATCGCACTAGCTTTAACCACCCGAGCGTCCCCCGCAGAACAGCAGCTGCCTTCGATGTCCCGCTTGAGACCATGTCCAGCATCATCGGCTGACCCTGGCGCAAGTGTTGCTGCATGGCATCGCGCATGCAGCGAGCAAAGCAAGCCACAGCACGATGAAGGCCGGCACAAATTTCTAGACAAGGCTTTATATTGTGGGTTGCATGGGCTTGGCATGAGTTCTGAAAGACTCTGGATTCATCGTATATATTTCATGTGTCATCTCTGCTCCTGTGATTCTAAAATGTCGGCCCTTTTTAGGCTATCTCCACTTTCCAACCTCTGTTGCATCCACAACCTCAAGCGCGTATCAAACTGCAGCTGCCGGTTTGTCAAATACAAAGAGAGTTCTCCTTTGTCATTCAGCTGAAGGGACTCTTCGGATAACTCAGTGGGTTCGCAAAGATCTTGGAGGGAAGTTTCTGCAATTGTCGTCCGCAATGCTATGTCTATCACTTTGATCTCCCCAGCTCGACACAGCAGCAGCAGGAAGCCATGCTGAATGTGCATCTGTTCCAGTGGTTCTTTCAAGCGCAATGGTGGAAAAATTGCCATTCCGCTAGCTGAACTCAGCACGTGAACATGATGGTGCGTGGCGAATGCGACAAAGCCTTGACCCAGGGCCTTCTTTTCGATCTTTGAAAATTCCGAAGACCAAACGAGATGCCCATATCTAAAGGCATGAACACTTGTCCGCAGTTCACGTGTGATCGTCAAAACTATCCCACTCTCATTGTCCACGATATAGAGGATCTTTGGCTCGATCTTCTCCTGCGCGCCCTTCCAAAGGCACTCGAATTCAGCAAGTTCATCATGGGGGCTGTCCTCAATGTGAGAAACCGAGGACATCTCGCTCCCTGGGCTCTCTGATCTCTTTTGAGGCCCGACGACGGCCACAGCCTTCTTTGGGACGGACGTCTTCTCCCTAAGTCGCATTGCTCCTGGCCCCACGGGCTGCGACAGCGCGCGCTCCGTCGCTGAAGGCGCATGAAGCAAAGATGAAGCAATGGAACTTTCGGGGTTTGGACCGCTGTGGTTTGGAGCCTGCTTTATGAGCTCAGCGCTGCTAGCACTAGGAGCGCTCGGGCCAGGGTTGTTCAACTCTGCCAATGCTTTGGAAGCTTTCGCGGGAGCCTGGGGACTGCTCGCGGCCTTCGCCTCACAGTCGGGACGGACGGTAGTCGAACTGGATGTCGTCCCAGTCGGGTCCGCCATGGTCGGGTGGAAATCCTTCTCAATGTGGTCGGAATCGTCATCCTCGAGAAAGGCACTTGGCCGCTTGACTCGCTTCACTCCTCGGCCTGAGGCCCTTGAAGCCCTTGTGCCTTGGCCTCCGCCGGTTGGCGCTTTGTCATGGCCCTTGGTCCGGGCCATGGCTGAGAGCCAAGAATCGGTGCGAACACGACTGGCAATCCACGTGACACACGGCCAAACAACAAAATTGCACTTAAGATCACTCAAGAGGATAAGTGTTACTAATAGCGAGGGCCTCCACCGTAAGTTTAATCAATCCTTCAAACATGTGTGCAACAAACATTCAGCGATTGCAACGCAGCGAATACACCGACAAACCCACTCCTCGTCCCTGTGACCGTTGCTGATGGAGGGAGGCTTGTGTTGGTCCAAACAAACTCCTTCCAAAAGCAAATCGTTTGTGTGGACTCCAGGTGCATCGCTAGTAGTAACAAGAAGCTACTAGGAACAAGTGCATCGCTACTAGCAACAAGTGCCTTACTAGCAATACCAAGAAGCTAGTAGTAACAAGAAGCTACTATGTTCCCCTTGAAACATGGATTGCACGACCCTTGTTCGTGCAAACCACTCTTGCCTTCACCAAGTTCCTCCATCTTCGCTCATGGCGGCGCACGGCTCTGCGCGTGGCTCTCCACGCAAATGCTGAGATTGAAGTGTGGGACCTCTCGAGCCCTGCAATCACCAAGACATCACCATTTGAACCAAAACCGGCTAAAGCTCCAACAAAACATTACTCATCAAAGTATTAATCTAACGACTTGACTAGACTTGACTCCCTCTTTCAGTGATTCAGTCTTTCCAAAGTCTTGGGCATGGCAAAGTGCTTGGCCAAGTGCAAGATGAGGCCAGGACAACAGCATGGCCAATTCCCGAGAGTACGGTTCAACCTCGTTGGCGTTGTCTGTGAGAACATTCACGGGCAGAACATGTGCTCTCTTTTTGAGACCAGGCAGGGGCAGGGCGCAGGTACAAAGCAAAAGTGCATGCAAATTAGTCCAATGTTCGTGTGTCTTTGTGCGTGTGCGGAAGTATGGGCCCGTTTTACTAATCATACAATTTGGAATTTCTAGTTTGGTGGTTTCGCTTCTTGACATAATTTATACAGCGAAGGCAGGTGCAGAGCACAGTGGAGACTGCACCCAACGCAGCTATTCACTTGTCCTGGAACCAAAGCCCGATCAGCTCTGTGTACATGCTTGGCTCTGACTTTCTAGTACCTATTCGGTCCTGTGCTACGCTAATAAGAACAAAAAGACCTGTGTTTGCATCGGCTGTGCATTCTGCAGCCTTGCACTCGTCGTTCGATTGTGTTGTCGAGCTGGATGATGGAAACTGTTTGGGGATGGCTGGCCTCACTGCATTTGCTTTTTAATGTTCACATCCTCGCTTCTCTCTCACCAAAAATCCACCAATACTCGCATGATCTGATTTGACCTCTAAAATTTTGCTGCTTTGCTCGGGCAATATGTTCACCTCGGCCTTCGACGGTGGTAGTGCATGCATGTCGTACAATCATTATCTTGAGTGTGCGTTCTTGTGAGCAAAGTCAATTTTGAACCAAGGGGTGCAAGAGTGCTTTGAGCTTTACTATGCCTTACTATTCGGCTCACTGCATGGTCTCCAATCGAACTACACAACACAAAGAAGGAAGGTCTAAAACATATGGTTTAAAAGGAGCAACTGATGAAGTTATTCATTTCATCTCGTTTTGACTGAGACATGCTGCCGCATCGACACCCAAGGCTCTCATGGCTTTCAGGGCGCCCCAGCCTGAGGTCGAAGAAACAAGAAAAACTAACAGGTCACCTAGTCAGGTGAAATTCTGAAGTGGATAGAGTACACCTAAACCAAACATGTCTCAAGAAGCACAGATTCAAGATCCGTTTGGAAGCATTCTGAGCGGGAATAATATTAAAACAAGAAAGCATATATACCTTTTAAAACACGACCTGAACCATCTCCATTGTCCTTAACAACGCAGTGTATGTATATAAGGCAATTATAAGTCCAAAACATTGCCCCGTTGTGTTTGTAGAAAACAAGACGGCTGCTGCACTTCGATTCCACATACACCTCGTTGTACAATCAGTTTTTTTTTGGTCAACTCTTTTCTGAAATGGTTAGTGAGTCTCCATTGGCTAATGTTGACCTCATAACAATAAATGCCCCCTAAATAATGCTAAATGCTTCCAAAAATTAATAAATGCCCCCTAAATAATGCTAAATTTGTTGGGATCTTGTTTTTGGGGCTGACTCCAAAACTCAATATTAGTTTACTCTCAGCTGCTTCCAAACCTGATTCTGAGCTTTCAGCTGCTTCCAAATCTTGATTCTGAGCTCCAGGCATACACACCACACACACATCAGAACAACAACAACAACAACAACAATGACAACAAACCCCATTCCTAATAATACTAAATCTTTTCAAACACCAATAATAAATGGACCTCAAATAATACTAAATGTTTTCTGGACCTTGATTTTCAGCTGCTTCCAGACCTTGATTCATCCAAGCTGATTCTGAGCTTTCAGGTGATTCCAAAACCTGATTATTTTGTGGTTTCCTTTACTCTGGAATTTTGATTTGGCTGCTGCATTTTCCTTTTAAAATTGCTTATTTGGACATGGCAATTTGTAACCTGAAATCAACCCACAAAGACCACCCCCCACGAGCAGCCCAAACCTTCAATTACTCCAGACCTCAAATAATACTAAACAATCCCTGGCTGGTTCTTTTCGTGATGTCCTTTCCTTTCCTTTCATTGTCCTTTCAATTTCCTTTCCTTTCCTTGCATGTTCCTTTCATTTCTTTTCCTTTCCTTCAATCTCCTTTCCTTTCCTTTCCTTTCATTTCATTTCCAATTCAAATCAAGATTTTCTAGGAAGGGGGGGGGGTTATTGTTTAGAGGTGGACATTATGGAATGATACAAACGCACACCAACCGGAACTGGGTGGCAGGAAGTGACGAAGTGACTCCGGGGATCCTGGCGCGCTGAAACTTCTTCACTCTCAAGCCCGGTGGCTAAATCAGCCGCAAAGTCGGCCACTGCCTCGGGACGATCTTCGCACTTCGAAGCCGGTCACTTGTAACCAAAGACAATCGTGGCTGTGAAACATGTAAATTAGCTGCATAACTTTGTCTTTCGATGCTTCATGGGACGCCTTTCGATGTAAAATATCTCTGGATGCTTCCGCTATGCCCCTATGCAGTCTTGAAATGTCTTGAAGGGTCGCACTTTGTCTTTATTATGCCTATGAGGCCCGGAGGTTGTCAGCGGGGGATCAACAACGTGCATCCTGTGAACAGCGTGACACAAGCGGAAGTTTTTCCTGTCAGTCAACCCGTTCAGAGCCAAGAAGCTCAAGCTTAGGAGAAGTGCCTAGGAAAATCAATTGTGATCTTCGGCTTTGTGGGTTTTATACGCTTTGTATCCCAATGTGATCTCCAAGGGTTCTTTGTTCTGAAGGCCGTCCTTTGTTTTTCAGGTTGCACCTCTTTCATTGCCTGCTCTGGTCCTGAGATTATCTATGCCTCAACCAAAGGTCTACCCAAGGGAATTGAAACTTCTTACTATCCTTACATCAAGTACTAGGCGAGGCCGTCTTAAGGAAAGGTCAGAGTATGTCTTAAGGTTACCGTGGGTCCTCGGAATTTGTTGGCCTTGCAGGCTTCAGTGGCGTCTGAAAAGGTTGTGTTTCCAGCTCTTCTCCCTTTGGTCCCTTCTGCACCTCCCTTAGCTCTAGGAGGCTATAAGTCTGCACTACCTCGAGGCAGTAGGTGATGGGCATTGATTGCCCTGCTTGATCAAAAGTGGCAGCTGCAAAGTCGCAAATATTCACGTAGAGCTTCGGGTTCAGATCATGGAATCGAGGTCTAGCGCAAAAGCTCAAGCCAGCAATCATATCGACAAAAACCTGTGCGACTTCCCACTTGCTCGCCCGTTGGGCAGCGCGCATGACCAAACTATACGCAATGTCGTCGGCTTCTGATCCAAGCTCGCCAAAGAGAACCAAAGCTCTCCTCCATTGAGCAGCTGTTGCTAAAACACTCATGCAAGAGTTGTAGGAGATTCGGTCAGCTTCAATATCGCTTGCTTGGCAGATCTCTTGGAAAAGAGCTTCAGCAATTTGCCACTGGCCGCTCTTTTCGCAAGAGCCAATGGCTGCGTTACAGGCTATTGTGTTTGCATCCAACAATGCGGTTTCCATATGCCTCAGGAGTGCAAGAGATTGCGGCCACTGCCCACTTTTCTCGCAGGCACTAATGGCCGAGCTGAAAGAGACAACACTGGGTTTGGAGATGTTCATGCACAGCTGCAGTATCAGCAAGGCTTGCTTCCATAAGTGGCTCTCTTGGCAACAACTGATCGCAATGTTGAAGCTGCGAAGGAGGCCTTCACGATCTTCGCCAGTCGGATTCCGCAGAGTCCTCAGACGTTCGACATGCTCTTCTAACAGGAGTACAGCCCGGTGCCATGCTGCTGAATGTTCACAAATCCTGAGTACTGTCGGGTAACTTCTGGTCGAAGGTTCCACCGCATCTTGCTGCAACTCACGCAACATTGATTCCGCACTCGCCCATGCTGAACAGCTCTGGATGGCCGCATTGTAGCTAATTACGTCTGCTTCAAGCTTCCGAGTAGGGAGCCCTCGCAACATTGCTGTGGCTTTTTGGGGCTGCTTCCTGCACGCGCAGATTGCAGAGCTGCAAGTCACTAGATCCAGCTTGAGCTCCTGATCATCCAAGTGTTGTACCAGTGCCAGTGCACACTGCCACCCTTCACAATCAGCACACACACTCACTATCGAACCGTACGTTACGATAGATGCTTCTCCCTGCGCTTCCCCTAAACCTTGCAGGAGTGAAAGGGCTCTTTGCCAGTGTGATTCCTCTTGCCCACACGAACTGAAAGCATTGATGGCCAAGTTGTAAAGCATGGTCCACTGCTTTGACACCATTCGATCCCTTGGCCTTTGCTTCCTGAGCTCCCCCAAAAAAAAGACTGCAGAGGACCAGGCCCCGCTGAAAGCACAAGCATTGAACACTGAACTCCAAAATATGTAGTCCGGCTGGACCGCAGCCGGAGCAAGCCGCCACAGAAGAACTGCTGTATGCCATGCAGTGTTGCGCAAGCTGCTTGAGATCAGTGATGAACATGTGAAAATATCTCCTTGCAAAGTGTCCTCCCTCAGCACCTCCAGCATACGAAAGGCAGCCTGCCATGCGGCTTTGTGCGGCACGTTCTCCATTACAGACAGTGCAATATTGTAAGTCACCAGGTTTCTTTCCACATTCTTTGTTGCCATTTCCCCCAACAAGACATTTGCTTGTTGCCAAGCACCACTGGGCTTGCACGCACGTATAGCGGAACTATAGGCAATCGCATTCCCTTGTACATGAGTGTGGTGCAAAAGCTCCCGCAAAAGCAAATGTGCTAGTTCCCACTCCCCAGATGATGCGCATGCACCAATAGCGGCGCCAAAGGTCTTGACATTTTGGTCTTTGTGTGGAAGCCCGCCGAACACCCGAAGTGCTTGCTGCCAGTTCGTCGCCTTCCCCAGAAACTTGAGAACAGCGTGCGGTTGTTGATTGGGTGGTGAAGAGTGCGGCTTCATGGCATCGCTACTAGGAACAAGAAGCTACTCATGACTTGGAGAAACAAATCATACACGCCCCATGGGCCCCATGGCATTCATATACCCTTGGTCACGCAAACACGGAGATCCGAAACGGTCTGCAGATATTCAAAGAAATGGTTCACCGTTGCTGGCGGAGTTCACTCAGCTCCTTCGGTTCCTTCTTCTGGAGGAGTAGAAAATGCAAAAAGCCAAGAAGATCCAAAAAGAAACAAATTCAGTGGTCCTGTTTCCGTAGTACGAGGTAGTTGAGTTAATTCAGCAGTGTCACGTGGTGTGACATGAGGCCGCGGCCAGTCGTCCACTCAACGCCTCCAAAGCAAGGATGGCTGCCGCCTGGACATATGGCACCTGGACGGGGTTGCACGCAAAAGAGGCAATCTCAGTCAAACCAGAAGCACACCCGAGCAAATCAAACTCGACAGTTCCCAATTGTTTGGTGTTCCCGGTCCTTATCCTGGAGAGCGGTGAGCATCAGCCTCTTTCCAAAAGGAAGTCTCGCCTGAAAACAAACACTTCTTGATGCACTGTTGTCAAAGTTTGCTGTGTCTCCGGGCATGGCAGGATGACAAAACAAACAAGAACCAATCCGCCCCTCGTTGTCTCTCTCGACGATACATACAAACGCCACAATAACAGGCTCTAGGGGGTCCGAAAACCTAGGAATACAAAAGTATGTCAATAGTGCAAGGCATACGTTTGGCATCACCAGCATGATCAAACAACAAAATCATCAACAAGGATGTTGGAGGCTAAAGAAATGTGAAGCATCAGTGACGGTGATGAAATTGATTGGGCCATGAAAACTAAAAGTGTGCATTGTCTGGCCTGCTAGACAAGACTTAACGGAAATGAAATGATTGGCTTATCGAATTAAACCCCTCCAAAAACGCACATGTGTGGGTTGCGGAGCGGCGTGACGTTCGGGCGCAGAATCGCCCTTGCTTCAGGCCCTAACCTCCTCGTCTGTTGACAACAGGGTTAAGGCCGCTAACTCCCGGACATCATCGTCTACATCCTGCGCTGTCCAGTGCAAAGTAGTACCCATGCTTGAAAGACTCCAGAGCTTGAACGGCGCTCTTTTTGTAGCATCCTTGCTCCTAGTAGCGATGTCCTTTGCTCCTGGTAGCTTCTTGCTCCTAGTAGTAAGGCCAGGAACCCCAAGTAGCGTCCGTGCTCCTGTAGTAAGGCCAGGAGCCCCTAGTAAAAGAATTGGCTCAATTGACTACTTTCAACCAGCCTTCACGTGTCTGCAAGAGAACAAGCAAAGCATCAAGTTAAATGACAAATCGTCCAGCAAAGCGCTGCCGACTGTGTTCGCGTGCTGTGCATCCAAGCAGCCTGACAGAGAAATTGGCCCGTTACAGTTTGACGTTTGACTGCATCGGCTTCTGGAATGAAACTTGCAAAAAAGGGCTGCCTTGAACATGCAGAGCCTGCACTGCAGTTAACCTCAAAGGGTCAAGCCTAACCTGCCTAACAACGAAAAGCTTGGAAATCTTGCAAGATAGCTTGTACAAAAGCAGGTCAAATGAAGAACTTTTCTTTTGGTTGCTCCTCTTGCGCTACCACGCCAGACATGTCATCGTCTGCATGTCGATGGGTGAAATGTCACAACTGACCGTTTCTAATCGTTTGTTGAGGAAACATGAAATTGTTCTTTTCAGGCCCTTTGTTCATCTAGTGCACAAAGAATTGACATCTGCCCTTTCTGACAAACATGTTTCCAAATACTTCTAATTATTGTATGTTGCAGTGTGCCTTAGTTTGTCAATTGCCGACTTTGTGAGAGATGAAGCGGGCGGGCGGGGCAGGCATGCCGGAGCCTGAGGGGCCTCTCTTACGTCCCTAGGGAATTGAATCGATAAAAACATTTAAGAAGCAAGGTGCCGTGTACCTTTTCTCTTCCCTATTCGGTCAGATGAGCACACGCAACTCGATCTTCTCGGGGCCGTGCTTTGCAAATGGGTCTTTGTCCCGGCCTGATGGGAGGTAGCAAGTATAAGAACTGCTACGCAAGAAAATCTCAATGCTTTTATCAAATGTTTCAAGTGATGTCAGCTAATTATATAATGACTCGGTTTGCTCTGCTCAAGTTGGCCTTTTCGCTCAGCATTCAACGCTTCTCCGCAGCTAGCAAGTTGCAATGCCTTAGGCATTGCCTTGAAGCACGCCGAACCAGGCTAACACAGAAACATCACCCTGGGACAACGAAACGATGTGTTCCAAATTAACAGCTCCATGCAGCGCCTTCCAAGACTCTGCAGCTCATGCCGCTCTGGGTTTGAGACACCATGCGCCAATTTGACTTGCTGGACGCATTGCGTTTCACTCTCCTCCTTGCACCGCCTCCTCAATCTCTTCTCATTCACTCTTAATTGAGGCATTGAGCTTCCTTCCGTGAGTGTGCATTTGAGAAGATTGAACCTCAAAGGAGAACCAAGCAAAATCAAACTTGCCACAATGGACTTGACATAGAAACCTTCAACCTTTTGCAATTTCGGCACTTGCGCAATCAGCCAGCACAAGCCCGAGCCCCAGGCATGTTTTGCAGAGAACGTGTTGTATTTCCTCTATCGCATATGTGAGGTGTCGGACCTGGGAATGCCGCTGCATGGTCGACTGAATTCATTGGGATTCGATGATTCTGCCAGGGTGCCTTGAGCATAATTGCCACTATATCCCCTTTCCTCAGAATTGAATTGCCACTCAGCTCGGCAGAAGGCTTCATCCAAAAAGAGCTCCAAATATGTCATGCCAGGGCGCGACACATCACCACGAAGCCTGATGAATCAAGCTAACACGGATCTAATTGTATAGCTTGCATCACAAAACTCTGCCGATCGGAGATGTCAAACAGCCACTTAGACCACTTTCCAACCGGCTCGTCATGCTGATACAATACACCACAAAAGGCTCAGCTCTGAGGCATTACAAAAATTAAGCACCGCTTGGTGAAGATACATTGGAGGTATGCTGTCCACCTGGTTGCAAGCAAACATTTGTGCGCTTTGCTACATCATGCGGCAACCGACTTCAACTTAAGGTGCTCTTTTGCGCTTGCTCGAAGCCAGTGGCTGCTTCCATGCTCCTGTCTTCACCAATGGATGTAACGGAAGGTTTAGGGGCTCAAGGTAGAGATCTGGCCAAGGCACTGCATTAGGCCAGTGACCAATTCGTCTGGTGAGAGCTCACCTGGCAAAAGTGATGGAGCATGTGAAATGGACCAGCACACACGCACATACAGCTTTATTATGCTTTATTCAGCACATGACCTGAAAAGGCTATTGATATCTACTAATACTACGAGTTCCTGTTTATGATTGATTAGTCGCCGTTCCTACTTAGTCAAGCAAGGGCGACAAAGCTGCAGATTTTGTCTACCTCTCTTCTCATTTCTCTAGACATGCTGTCCGCTAGTGATTCAGCCTAAACACTCCAATCATTCTGCCCGGGCCTCCCATGTCCACGTCCAAGATGTCAAACATGCGGAATTTGTCGGACATGTCCTTGAATCCCCAACTCCATCTCACGAACTCACATTAGAAAGCGTAGGGGCGCAGCTACTCGGCTTTGGAAGCTTTCTGAAAACATTGCAGCTATGGCACCACGTCAGCTTCCTCCAACATTGTAGTGAATTCTGCGTCTTGCAACCATAAACTAAACCTGCAGAAAGAAGAAGACAAACAAAAAAAAGAATTTGGCAAGGAAACAACACAGTTTTATAGTATATAAAGGGAACCGTTGGCACTGTTGTCGCATCACTCGGACATGCAGTTTCAGCTTCCGCTTGCGGCTGCGGCGCATCTCTCTGGAGATCGAGACCTCTACGGAAAAGCAAACATTCTTGTGAAATTGGTGATAATGAACTTATGTTTTTAAGCATTCTGCCACCAAAAGAATAGGCACCTTGTCCTCTTGCAAAATCCGATAGGTAGCCTCGGCAATTTTCTTCTTGGTGGCCTCCGGCAATAATCGGAAATATTCGGAACTGGGAAACAGAAAGTATGCACAGATCAGAAAAAGAACCTGGTCGCTGTAGTAGTCATCAGAAGTGAGGGATGAGAGCTTCCTTCACTGATCAAGCTGCGCTTGGATTGACCAGAATTCTCCAAATTGTCTGATGTTTGACTGACTCGGCTTCCAGTTACATCCAAGCTGCTGCCGGGCTGAATTTGAAAGACGACTAAAAAGGCCACGCTGAGATGCTGCAGTTGTGTCTTCACAAAGAAACCTCCATGCAAAGCTGTACAGTCTTGAATGGGCGAGTGTGATATTGTGCTTGAACATTCTCAGTGGCTGGTTCGAAAAGGGTGGCAGTTGTTTGGAATGTTTATGAGGAATATAAGTTTAGTATAGATTAGTTTGGGATAGTTTGGGGCAGTCTCGCCTGCGAAATTGCAGCTTCAAGTCCGTGCAAACTGCCGCAGAGGTGTCGCCTCAGGATTCTGCTGTTGTGTCCAGAAGTGAGGACTCCCATGCTGAGGAGGAGACCTATCTCCTTCAACTTCCGTTGGCCTTGTGATTTTAGTACCTCAGGGCACGAACAAACTTGAATGTAGACCACTCTATGCCGTCCTCGCATCTCAACATTCTTCTCTCCAAGCGCGGTCGAGATTCATTGTCAATGAAGACAGCCTGAGTGGAATTCAATGCAATACATGAACAAGCATCAATACCGAAATAATTCCCAACTACACTGTCCCATCTCAGCTTGGGACCATGATAAGGTTGGTAAAACCCACCTTAGTCCAGCAGAATCAATGGACATTATGAGGCTATACGCTACTAAAAATTTATTGCAAGCTCTTTAGGAGAAGAATGAGGCCACTAGACTGGTCACTAGGGCCACTAGGGCTCGCAAATGCTCGCAGGCCGAAGCGTCGAGAGAGTTCAAGAGATAAGGTGGAAAGCCAAGGCTCCAATCTAATAGCAACAGCCTCCAACCTAATAGCAACAGCCTCCAACCTAATAGCAACGGCCTCCAACCTAATAGCAACAGCCTCCAACCTAATAGCAACGGCCTCCAACCTAATAGCAAC